TTTTGGGAAATATTTGAAATAATGGTCAAAACTATAAAAGAAGACCATTCTGTAATAAAATCCCCTTTAACCTCTTGAACACACCGTATAACTCACATAAGTCAATTCAGAGTTGATAAAGTACATTTGAAACAGACGTTAAACCTAAATTCTCTTCAACAGAGAAATAAAATGAATGTTACAAAAATGCCTGACAAGCTTAAAACCACAATATTATTTAATATATAAATATATCTGACTAATGAAAATATTGAAGCTATTATCCTATAGAATTATATATTATATAGCTATACCTCATTACCATAAATATTAGGGTTATGATCCTATAGTATTATATATTATATCAATATACCTGATTAATTTAAATATTAGGGCTTTGTAGCTTCAGTATCATATATTATACAAACACACAAGGGTAATTTAACTATTAAGACTTTAACCCCACAGTATGATATATTATATAAATATATCTCTCTAAATAAAATACTATGATTAGGATCCTAATATACCCAACTGATTTAAATATTACGCCTATAATGCCACAGTATTATACAAATATATCATACTGACATACAGATTAAGGCTATGATCTTACAGTATCATTTACTAAATAAATATACGTGACTAACTCTGGAGCTCATGATCCTACAGCTTTACTTCTTAAACAAGCGTACCTGTCTACAGATTACCTGTGTGAGTCCTCTCGTGAATCTTTAAAAACAGGGGGTTCTTGAACACCTTTCCACAGTCCTCACACCGTGCCTCAGCGTTTGGGTATTTCCTCCTCCTGCCCCTCTTTCCAGGCTCTTTGCTTCCTGCTGCTGTGTCACTGCCCACCTTGTAGCCCTGATATTTAACCGGTGGCCTGACTTTGCGTTTGCTCTGGCGGCTCCGATGTGCTCTGGGGTCATAATCTGCATCGTCTTTAGGTTGCGACTCTCCATCATCTCCGGCCTGCACGTCCTGTGAGCTGTCACATGCTGCACTTTTACCTTCCTGCTGTATTTCAGGAGCAACTACGTTCTTCTTCGGCCGTCCTCTTTTGCATTTCAACAGATCTGCCACCTTGGCTTTGTCTGTTTTTAACGCTGTGACCTCTGACCTCTTTGTGAGCTCAATACCAAAAAAAAATAATGAGGCATTCTGTATTGGCTTTAAATATTTATTGTCCTGTAGACAAACCCTTTTCATTTATTACTATATCTATGACTGTATTATGCGGCAGTACAATGCACAATTTTGATCTATTATTGCTTTACATGAATTTTCCCATTTTTAAGACTTAGCCTCCAGACCTATATGGAGAAATATTTACTTATTCCACAGCTGTATTTAATTTATAGCTAGAGTTGTTGTTTAATCAGTGTGGATTAAATGCAATTTACAGCTTATTCATTTCTAAAATATGATGGGTTGGTACAGTAGGTAAATGTCATCCACTGCACCCTTACATGTTAATGTATTCAGAAGAAGAATTTATTAATATAATATGTAATTGAAGGGCTATTCTGCTGCATAATTTAGACTTTTGCAATTTTTTTGTAGACCTTAGGATAGAAGACTGCTGCTGGTTTGTAATGCAATGCAAGTGTGTCACAAATGCAGCTGCGTGCTCTTGTGTGTATAAGACACAATGA